ATTTGGCTTCGTCCCACTGAGCACTCTTTATCCAGTGTCTCTTGTCCCCAAATCCATGTCCCACAAGGGGCTGAGAGCACAGAGGCAGACTTTTAGAAGTTTGTTTTTTTCAGCAATCATGCAAAGAGTTGGACACTGTGACACAAATATGGGATTTGGAACCGCAAATAAAAGTGGTTGTGGTTCTGCCATTTTAAAAATAGCTTTGTCCTGTGCATGTCACAGTTCTCCTTCTATTGCCTTTCAATTCCAAATGAATACCTAACCTCAGGCCTGACCTGTTCTGCACCAGCGAGCCTTGTCCAGCTGCTGTGATGGATCCCAGTCCCAAATCCCATCTCTCCCTACTGTCCTCGCCCTGCCCTTCCCTCCTTGGAGTCTGGCAAACTCTAGGTTGGTTTTGCCTGTCCAGTCTTCCTGTGAGACCCCTCTGGGGACCTGCCCAACCCCATCCCCTCGTACCACTGCCCCCTACTCCTGAACACAGTGTCTGTCTGTGCCTCCTGCCTGTGTCCACAGCCCCACTGTTTGTGCTTTCCAGCTTTAGCCCAGGACTATTTCTGTGGTAGGTGCTGCGGGCAATGGGGAAGGAGGAAGCAGGGAGGAAACCGGAGGCCCAGAGTGGGGTTGGGCTGTAAATACCTGTCTGTGATTGATTTTCCTGTGGAACCCCTTGGGACTCTCCAGTGGGCAAGAGCATCCTGGGCAGCGGGTGCTGTCGTGCCTCCCCTGGCTCCAGCACCCAGATTGGACTGGTAACCTCAGCCAGCAACCCTGAGGCTGTGGGGCACCTTGTGTGTGTGCTCACATGCCTGTGAGCACGCAGGAGCTCCCTGCTCAACAGGGCAGACCTGTGGGCAGGGCAGTGAGGCAATGGCACCCACTGCTGCTGTAGAGTTGGCTCCTGTGCAGGAGAATTGGGACTTCCCTGTGGCTGGAGGTGCTGTGGCCATGGCTGGGCACTCTCCATGTGCCCCACCGTGGTGTTGCTGTGAATGCTCCTCCAGAGTGCGAGTGTCACTGTGGAGCCAGGGCCCTTGAGGGCTGTGGGAGCAGGACAACCAAGGGCTATGGGAACAGGAGAGCCCTGGGAGTGCTGCGGAGTGTGCTGAGCACCAACACTGCCAAGTGCTGGGGACAGGTCCTGCTGCAGAGGCGAGAACCATCCTCGGCCACCATGCCCAGCCCTCCCTCCTCCCTTGCTGGCTTCAGCTCCTGGTGTTGGCTGTGCTGGGCTCCCTGGCAGCCAGCTCCTGGCTCACAGGATAGGGCTGGACTACTGCCACCAGCTCCTCACCGTCCCCACACCACCATCCCCAGTGTCCTCCTCCGCCCTGTGCAAGTGCTCTTAGGAGAGGACGTGGTGTGCCCGTGCCGTGCAGCATGTCTGTGCTGGCAGCCCTGCCTGCCCTGCCCTCCCTGGTGCTCCTCCAGCCACGGATCCCCACAATCAATGGGGAGAGCATCAGGATGCCTGGGACCAGGAGCGGCTGCCGCTTTGGTCGTGCATGAGGAATGGTGCCAGGTGAGCAGCCCTGGCACAGGCTCAAAGGACACACTCAGCTCCCCCAGACTTTGCTCCAGGCACAATGGGAGAGGAAGCCTTGTGCTGGGGTCCTGCATGGGGTTGGGGGTGGAACAGTGCTGGCACAACCAATCCAGGCGGGGTCTGCTCTCACTGAGCTGGGAGAGCCGTGGCCACCCACAACTCCTTCTCTGCCCCTGTTCACAGCCCATGACAGCTTCCTTGTGCCCTTGCAGGTTTGTGGGGTGCAGTGAAGCCTCTGGATGCCTCTGTGGGCAGTGGGGAGCCAAAGGGCGTGATGGTGGCTGTGGCACTGGGCAGGGCAGCCGGTGATTGCTTCTGGCCATGCAGGGGTTCGGGGGCTGTTTTCCTCCTCGTGTATGAAAGGTCCCATTCATCCCACTGCAGCAGGCTCAGGTTCTCATCTGGGCTGAGCCGGTCCCTGAGCGTGTGTTAAATGCGGGGGGGATTATGAAGCGGCTCCAGTCCGGCCGTGGGGCCACCTGTGATGCAATGAAAATATTACGAAAGCTGCTGGGGCTGAGGGATGGCAGCCACCGGCCAAGGGAACGAGCACGGCTCTGGCAGCGCTGGCAGTGGGAGCTCCACGGCAGCTCGGGTTTCCTTGCCCCTGAGCATGGGCTGGGCAGGGGTCCCAGCTGGAAGGCCCCCACGCTCTGCAGCAGCTGAGCTCATCAGGACCCCAGGCTGTGGTGGAGTTGTCGGTGCTCCTGCTCCTGCTTCTGCCCAGGGCTCGGCACTCACAGCTGCCCCACTCAGGGCAGGATCCAGCTCCTCTAGCTCTGTTCAGTCAGCTCCACCCTTCCCTGCACTCTTAGGCTGTGTCCCTCCAGGATGGACGGTTCCGTCCCCTCCGCTGGCCCCGACCCCAGCTCCACTCAGCACCCTCGGCTTCGGTTTCCAGTTTAATTAACTAGAGCAGGAGGAACATGGAAAAACCTGGGCTGGAGCCTCCCCCGCCTGCTTTCCCCAACAAAGGCCTCATTGAGGCTGTCCCGGCACCCCGCCACGCAGAGCTTGGTGCCGGTGGTGCCCCGGCAGGGGCAGAAGGGCCGTGGCCATCGGGTCTGCACAGGGCAGGATGGCAGCCGCTGCTGCAGAGCCCCTGCGCGTCCCCTCGGCAGGACGGCTGCAGGGTGGGCTTCCCTGTCCTGTGGGGAGGGGGTGGGCTCCGGCTGGAGGCTGAGCGAGGGGAGGGATGGGCGGCCCCAGCACGGGACGGCGGGGAAGCACACGAGCTTCTCAGTGCCTCTTCTGTTGTGCACATACCCAGAGCAGGGGGAGAGGGGTGGAGGGGGCCACGTTCTGGGGCGGCCCCAGCCCTGTGTGCACCGCTGTGCTGGGGGACAGCAGGTCTCGGCAGGACCCCACGTGCCCCCCTCACCCCCTCGATGGCTCCCACAGACGCGGAAGCTGTCGAAGACAGAGCGGCAGCGGTTCAGCGAGGAGGTGGAGATGCTGAAGGGGCTGCAGCATCCCAACATCGTTCGCTTCTACGACTCCTGGAAGTCAACCATCAAAGGGCAGATCTGCATTGTGCTGGTCACAGAGCTCATGACATCTGGCACCCTGAAAACGTGAGCAGGGACCGCTGGATCGGGGTGTGCAGGGGAGGGGGCAGGGTCCCTGCTGAGGTGCTCTTTGTTGCTTGCCCGGTGCGGGCACCTGAGTCTGGATAGACTTGGCACGGCAGCAGGAGGAGGGTGGGCTGGGGCAGGGTTGGGGCGTGGTCTGAGCCCTGGGGGTCTGAGCCCTGTTGGTCCCTGGCAGGTACTTGAAGCGGTTTAAGGAGATGAAGCTGAAGGTGCTGCAGCGCTGGAGCCGGCAGATCCTCAAGGGGCTGCATTTCCTGCACACCCGCTCCCCTCCCATCATCCACCGTGACCTCAAGTGTGACAACATCTTCATCACGGGCCCCACGGGTTCGGTCAAGATTGGGGACCTGGGCCTGGCCACACTTAAGCGAGCCTCCTTTGCCAAGAGTGTCATAGGTGGGGTCCCAGCATGGCTGGGCTCGCAGGGGCTGGGGGGGCTGCAGGGGGTGGGTTCCCYGGGGGTACTGAGCTCCACTGCCACCTCCAGGCACCCCCGAGTTCATGGCACCAGAGATGTACGAGGAGAAGTACGATGAGGCGGTGGATGTCTACGCCTTCGGGATGTGCATGCTGGAGATGGCCACCTCAGAGTACCCCTATTCTGAGTGCCAGAACGCTGCCCAGATCTACCGCAAGGTCACCTCGGTGAGGCCCCAGCCCCAGGCGTGAGTGACGCTGCTGGCTGATGCTGCAGGAGCCAGGAGAAGGGGCAGGGGGAGGACAGTCAGCTGAAGCTGTCAGGCCTTGCTGCTGCCCAAAATGTGTCACCGGGAAGGTTGTGCAAGTGGTTAAAGATAGTCTGGTCAGTGAGGGGTTGCTGTGCTGGGGCATGGAGCTGCGGGTGGTGGTGGTGGTGGGGCCACGGCTTGGCCAGACCCTGTGTCCCTCACCCTACACTAGGCACTGCCAGCACATTAATGGGGTGGAACAGGAGCAGGTCTGCTTGGCCACCCCCTACATAGGGCATGGCATCTGCCCTGGCCGGTCACAGCCAGTTCCTGCCAGCTCCTGCCTGCTGGGGTGGAAACCCAGAGCCCCAGGGTATCCTGGCCTGTGCAGGCACACGTGGCTTGGCCATGGGAGCTGCTGCAGCTCCAGTGGAGCCCTGGGCTGGTTCTTCTCCGGGCCCTGGGAGCCCGGCATTGCGGCGAGTTGGCACAGAAGAAGGTGCTGACATTCATCACCCCCAGGGCCTGAAGCCCAGCAGCTTCTACAAGGTGAAGGTGCCAGAGCTGAAGGAGATTATTGAAGGCTGCATCCGCATGGACAAGAATGAGAGGTGGGGTCAGAGCACGGGTGTGGGTGGCACGGTCCCCCTTGGCCCCCGGCCCTTGCTGAGCTGTGTCCCCTGCAGGTACACCATCCAGGACCTGCTGGAGCACTCCTTCTTCCAGGAGGACACGGGGGTGCATGTGGAGCTGGCTGAGGAGGATGATGGTGTCAAGTCTGGGCTCAAGCTCTGGCTGCGCATGGATGACACAAAGAAGCTGCACGGCAAATACAAGGACAACAATGCCATCGAGTTCCTCTTTGAGCTCCACAAGGATGTAGCAGAGGAAGTGGCCCAGGAGATGGTGGGGATGGGAACAAGGGAGCCCTGGGTGCTGTGGGGTCCCAGGAGATGGTGGGGATGGGAACAAGGGAGCCCTGGGTGCTGTGGGGTCCCTGCACCCCAAAGTGACAAGCCTCCTCCATGCAGGTGGTCCTGGGCTTCATCTGTGAGGCCGATTACAAACTGGTGGCCAAGGCGGTGAGGGATCGTGTGGCTGCCATCAAGCGCAAGCGGGAGAAGCTGAAGCGTGTCCAGGACGTGCCATCACCTGCGGAGCCAGAGCAGCCGCCGGGTGTCCTGCAGCTGCTGGAGGAGCTCAAGTCCCCACGGCCACCCGGTGCCCCCGCGCCTGCCCCAGCCATCCCCGGCTCCAGGGACTCCGTCTTCAGCAGCACCTTCCCCCCGGAGCCTGAGGAGCCCGAGGCCGACCAGCACCAGCACTTTGCCTACCAGCACACCAGCTACTCCTCGGCCACCTGTGCGTAGGCACTGGGTGGGCAACAGCTGGGTGGGCAGCAGGGGACCTGAGGCGGGAGGTGGGTGGGGGATCCCTCTCCTTCTCCCAGCCCCACAGCCCTTTCCCAGGCACTCAGCCGGGGAGGGGACTTGCTCTGGTTCATGCCAGCGCTCCTCCACAGCTGACTGTGAGACAGATGGATATCTGAGCTCCTCCGGCTTCCTGGACTCCCCAGACCTGGCCCACCGCAGTTTTGTGGCTGGGGACCCTGCCAGCCCTCCTCCCACCCGGCCCGTGCGCTGCTTCCCCACGGTGAGTGAGGCCCTGTGGGTGGGTGGGGTCGGGGTGGCTGTGGCACCATCTCACCCTGTCCTCTCCCCTCAGAGCATCGCGGTGCAGCTGCCCACAGAGCGCTTGCCCCCCGCTAGCGGCTTCTCCTCCCCGGTGGACAGGTGAGGCTGGGAGGCTGGGTGAGGGCTGGATGGGGAGTGTGGCACCTGGGAATGGCCACGCTAACGCTCCAGTGCTGGGGCTTCTTGCAGCTACACCTCAGATGTGGCATCAGGCATGAGCGATGGCTGCGAGGGGCTCTCGGCCAGTGAGCAGAGCACGAAGCTGCCGCCCAAGCGAGCCTCGGGGAAGCTGCTGCGGCGCCGAGCCCGGTCCAGGCTGCGCATAACCAACGTGAGTGCCACGGGTGCCAGGCGGGCGCCAGGCAGGCGCTCCCAGGCTGAGCCAGCTCTGCCACCCACAGATCTCCGACAAGAGTGACCGGGTGGTGGAGTGCCAGCTGCAGACCTACAACAACAAAATGGTGACCTTCAAGTTTGACCTGGATGGGGACAACCCGGAGGAAATTGCAGCTGTCATGGTGAGTGAGGGTGAGGGTGAGGATCTGCCCGGCTGTGCTAGGTGCTGACCAGCCCCTCTGCCCCCAGGTCCACAACGAGTTCATCCTCAAGTCGGAGCGGGATGGCTTCATCAACCGCATCCGGGACATCATCCACCGCGTGGAGACCCTGCTCCGCAAGGACGGGCGCAGCGGCGCCGAGCTGCCCAGGAGCCCCGAGGCTGAGGGTGGCGTGGGCAGCCCCGTGAGTGCCAGCCCGGCCCTGCCAGTGCTGGCAAAGCTGCTGATGCTGAGTGTGCCTGGGGGTGCTGCCTGGTCCCAGAGAGCCCAGGGGGAAGGGGGTTAGGGTACAGGGTCCTCCTGTGGTCACTTGCCCACTGCTGTGACAAGTGGTGGTGGTCCCTTGCCTGGCACAGCCTCCAGCTCCTGTCTCCCCAGGTAGTGGGGCCAGGGTGGGGCTTAGCACAGCTTGGCCAGGGCCTCTGCCCCAGTGTTGGGCTTAGCTCATCCTCCTTGCAGGTGGACCTGCAGCTGCAGGGGCTCTCGCGCTCCATCTCCTCCTCATCCTCGCTCAGTGGTATGTCTGTGCCCCTGCGTGGGCTCTTCTCATCCCCCCCAAGCCCCATGCAGGGCGGGGGACAGCTTCAGCCAAGCCTGGGGGGGTTCTCATGGGGCACGTCCTGCCCTGGCTGAGCCTGGTTGTCACCCCTGTGCTGCAGATCTGAGCTGCACCAGTCCCAGACTTTCTGTGCAGTCCCCCGTCCCGCCATCATTGAGCCGCTCCCCGTCAGAGACGGACCTGGCCAGCCCTGTAGAGGCACCCAGAGCCCCGGCACCGCTGGAGGCCCCCGCAGGTACCGGCACTGGCAGGGCTGGGCGTGTCCATCGCACCGGGGCCGCTGGATCAAGGCTCTGGGGTGCCTGGGTGGGGGAGGAGGGGGCACTCGGGAGCCACTCCTGATGCTCCTCTCTCTGCAGGCTCCGTGCAGACCTGGCCACTCATCTCAATGGCTCCCTCCTGGCTCACGTCGTCACCGGTGTTCCCACAGACCCCCACAAGGACCTCAGAGGGGCCTGTCCCACCGGCCCTGCCCCAAGCACTCCTATCCCCACAGCCTCTCCCCACGTCCCCTGTCTCCTGTGAGCTCAGCAGCCCCCTGAGCCCCCCTGTGACCAGCACATCCTGGTCCCCCACCACTCCCCTCCTGACCCTGGCCAACGTCTTCTCCTTGGCAGTGATGAGCGTGGCCCAAACGCTGCTGCCCACTGTCTCCCCTATCGCCAGCTCAGGTGGGCACCTCTACCCTCCACTGCTGCCACGGCCAGAGAGTCTTGTCCTGGGGGCCCCACGCTTTGTCTACCCCGACCCCACAAGCACAGTCAAGCCAGTCCCAGCTGGCAGTGGGATCCTGGAGTCAGCAGGGGCTGACGTCCCCACTGCTGGGGGGCCCATATCCTTCCCACCCCCAGCACCAGCCCCAATGTACCCCACAGACAGTGAGGCCATGGGCAGTCCCCTGCCACCGCTGAGCTCGTCCACGCCAGGGAGCCCAGAGGGCAGCACGGTGAGTATGGGGGTGCAAAGGCTCCTCAAGGCTGCTTGAGGTGAAGCTCAGTGCCAGGGGGGCTGGGTGGTAACTGCAGGGGAACAGGAAGCCTCATGGCTTGTGGAACCACTTGGATACAGGGAGGAATGAGTGGGCAGTGGGTTCCAGGAGCAGCAGTGGGGGAACAGGACATGTGGGGGGACGTGGGAAGGGGCAGCTGATTGTGCTCAGGTCCCACAGGTGCCACCCTGTGTCCCCAAGCCCAGCCATTCACTCATCGTGTCGGAGTTGCCGGCCCCCACCGTGCGCACGGCCCAGCTCTCACCCATCAACGAAGGTGAGGTGGGGCAGGGCTGGGGCTGCACCGGGGCCATGCCTGTGCTGGGGCACGTGATGTTCCCACCAGCCCATGACCCCTGAACCCCACCAGCTGCCCCTGTCCCCAGCAGAAGCCAAGCCCCAGGTGCTGGGCCGGTTCCACGTGATACCAACCAAGGACCTGCCTGTGCCCTCCCCTGTGCAAAATGGGAGCAGCAGCGAGGGAGAACAGCAAGTGGGGCCAGTGAGTGGCTCCCCGCCTCCCATGGTCCCTGACACGAGCCACAGCTCAAGCAACGACTCGGATGCAGTGCTGGAGGCAGCGGAGCAGGAAGCCAAGGCTGAGGAGGTGCTGGCCAAGGAGGGCACCATGCCAGTGGCACCGCTGGAGAGCGACCAGGAAGGCCCTGGGGAGGAGGGCACAGACAGCACCCCCCAGGCCGTGCTGAGCCAGGTGTGGCTGAGCTACCCCCGCAGCCTGACCTATGTGAGCAGCGACGACACCGAGAGCGAGGACGAGGAGATCTGGGAGGAGCTGCAGAACCTGCGCCAGAAGTGAGCAGGAGGGTGGGCTGCACCCAAGAGGTGACGCGGGGCCTGCAGGAGGGGACAGGTCTTCCCACCCACC